AACCAGAGCCTCAATTCTACTGATAAGATGTGGACGGCAAAACATCCCTCGGGCGCGCACAAGAATACATCATTTGGTCTCGGTTCCACCACGCGTGCCGAGGGGCCTGCGAAGAACTGTGTAGCTTGATATTCGGCACCCGTTGCCCTCGTCTTCACATCAAGGGCCGCGGTATTCAGATATGAATGGCCTTTGGGGATACCCACCAGCTGCCCAACATCTACAGCAGTTGACTTCTTCTTCGGTGCAGCCCTCACCTTCCTCTTTTTCCTACCCGAGGCCACCCTAAGAGGTTCCAGGTCGAGAATCCGGGAGCTGCTCGCCTCACCGACATTTCGCGGGGGAAGGACAGCGATAGTAACCTTCTGCCTCTCCTTCTCCCACTCCTCCTCCTCGGCAACTTGGAGGGCTAGCACAATTTCTTCGTCCTCCACCACTTGTTCGAATTCCTCAATCTCCGCTTCGGTCTGAAGATGATCCTGAACCTCCTTAGTTACGGCAGAATCATCACGCGCTGAAAGCTGCTCGCTCGAAGACTCAACATCTGAGTAGCTCTCTGACTGGATCAGGACCTCCCCGGAAATATTTTGAGAATCACTTGTTGAGGACATCCTTCGGATCTACGTTTAAGGGGGTGTGAGGAAACAAGGCTTCCTAAAGTCTCTAAACACTAGATCTAAAGGGAGAAAGCAAAATATGTAGGGAAAATCAAGAATAGGTGAAGAACTGACCTCGGAAATTTGGTTTTGATCGAACATGTGCTTTCTCTCTCTAGAAATTTTTGGCCAGAGCTTCGCTAACAACAAGACGCGTGAGAGGAAATGGGATCCGGCCTTGGGGTATTTATAGACCCCCCAACCATGGTTAGCCTCGACGCATGGGCCTCCGGTTAAAAGCCTATCATTACGGGCCGCGGTTTTGGCCAATGGATGGCACCCGCCCGCTTTCAGCCAACGGACGCATGCCACGTGGACACCACCACCAACGGCTATATTTTAACGGCCGCATTGCAACAATGTCCTCAGTTGACCCCCTTCGGACAATAGAACGATATGCCTTCGGCTCGGTGCACATTCCTTCGAGTGGCCCTCCAGCAATCATGCATCAGCTATACATGAAGCCTACAGATCATCAGATACTGCTTCACCCTCAGATCTATGCAGCGCACAATTACTCATTTTCCCTCAAGTACCTTTCGACAAAAGGAGTGAGGGACTCCAGGGACGCACCCCTCGGGAACCGTTATAAACAAATATTCACACAATGCAAAAAAGATGCAAATGCATATGTAGCCTCCGGGGTACATAATCGACGTGCCCCTCGGGAAACACGCAGAAAATAAAGATTGACCTGCAAACCATCTGCCTACACACGAATAGGAACAAAGCAGCCTTCGAACCAACAGAGGATGCACACTCATGAACACTCCCCCCCAGGAAGCCCTCAGACCTCGACATGTGGGGGACTGAGGGAGTCCTCTCGGCAAACATTAGAGAGCATATAACCAACAGAAGGAAACTCCCACAACGAGGATGCCTTCGGCAGAACAACCACAATAACTCCTTTTCCCTCAAGTACCTTTCGGCAAAAGGAGTGAGGGACTCCTGATGGAGTATATGGCTCAGGGACCCCTGGCCCACATACCTCCACTACTACAGCCAGGCCCAATAGGCCCAAGCGGCCCAAACACAGCAGCAAGGCTCCGGGCAGCCCATACTTCAAAATGTGGATGGCTTCGGCCCTATGGCCGAGGGCTCCAAATTCTAGGAGACAACTTGATATGGGCCTACAAAGCTTATGGGAATTTCTGAAGCTATATGATGCCTTTGGCCACACGTACGCATTCGGTATATAGCAGACTCGACGAAGATTCCTTTTAGAAACAGGCAACCACCGCATTTAATGCGGTGCACATGCAAATGCCGGTGCCACCCCCGATTGAGATGACCCCCAGCCATCAGATGTTTGATACGTGTCCCCGCCTAGCATTTATGGCTGCTATAAATAGCAGCCAATTCTTCCATTGTAAACACACAACTAATATATCGAATATATGCTCACTCTCTCTCTTACTTGCTCTTACTTCTCTCTAAGTTATTTGCCATAATAACCTTTCGGATAAGCTACCCCGGGTACACTATCCATCAGTTAGTATACATAGTCTAGTGTATACGTACTAATCCTTCATAGTCTATTAGTATACGTACTAATCCTACAAAAAAGGGTATACGTGGTAATATGAATATGTACTATGTAAATTAAAATATTTAAATACATATATACATATATATAGTGTACTTAATAATATTACGAAGTATAATATAGTATAGGGGGAACTATCAAATAAGCCCTCTAATTTTCATAAAAAGTGCAAATAAGCCTTTTTATAGGAGGTTCTGTCCGACTGTCGCCATTTGGGGCAGTTTTCTGTGGAACTATTTGATGAAATTTTTTAAGTATCTTCTTCATTAAGTCTTGTTTACTCATACCAAATTTCAGCTAAATATTCAATCATGAAGACAGTCAAATGAATTTTTGAAGATAACTACGCAGTTAGGCAGCACAGTATATTTCAGAAAATCATTTGACTGCCTTCTCGATTTAATTTTTAGCTGAAATTTGGTATGAATAAAGTAGACTTAATGAAGAAGATGCTCAAAAAGTTTCATCCAAAAAGTCCACCGTAAACCATCCTAAATGGAGATAGACGGATAAAGCCTCATGTAAAAGGGCTTGTTTGCACTTTTTATGAAAGTTCGAGGGCTTATTTGATAGTTCTCCCTATAGTATATGTAGTAAAATCATACCTTTTTTTTAATAATGTGTGCATGTAAGGTGCATGTGAGTGTGTGACTTCATTTAAGTTAGAGATTTTGAAATTGAGTGTATGTCTCATAAAAAATCTTGATAAATTAAGATCATTGTTGAGGGTAAATCCCGTAGATCCGAAAGCCCAACACGAACTTTGGATATATCAGGAATGACCCAGAATCAAAGCGTATAAACAAAATATAAAATCTGAACTCACTAATACTCGAAAGCCCACTTGTATTAATTAACCAGTCTGATTACAAGGAAATTCCCGAACGGTAGGTCGGAAACAATGCTTTAATATAAGAAATAAGAGCAATGATGCTATTCTAAGGCCTGAGTATTGAAATGCTAACCCTTACAATGACTTGAAACCTTCTATTTATACTAATGGAGAGCATGGGCTGCCCTATGCTGATTGGCCGTTGTTCCACCGACTTGGTCATCCATGCTTCCACTTGCTGATGTCACAGTCTGGCATTAATTGCACCTGTCCACTTGCGGTTTGGCCGTTGCCCGAACGGGATGTTGGGCTATGCTGAAGACGCTGTCAAATTGGCCCAAGTGTGATATATAGTCCGAACTCCGTTCGGTATGTCTCCTTACTGGGCCAACCCTTACTTGGGCCGATTCTCGTTCGGCATTAATTCTACCATGATTATCCTATCATCATGTGATGGGCCCGTTGCTTGGGCCGGGTATCTTGGGCCTTCCTGATCCGGGTATTGGGCCTCTGGATCAATATCCCAATACAAGTCCCCCACTTCCGATGTCTCGAACGATAGTGAGTGCATTAGGAAGTATGAATATCAATGTTGTAATACTCCGAATGGCGATCGGGGTGCAGAAGTAATCAGTTCCCCATGCTGTGATTTGACGACTGTCGCTTCATTTCCCCATATTCATCATGGTAACCGTCGTTTAGTCTTTTCATTAGACACGTGTTTTAGCTTAAATGCTCCTAGTGACGTGTCGCTCCCTGATTGGTTCTTGACACGGCGGTTTCAAGGCTATAAATTAGCCTTTAACTTCTCTATTCCGGGTTTCGATTCTGCAATTCTCTGCGCCTTTGTTGATTCCCCTGCAATCTTCTCCCAGCTTCCATCGCTCAGGTAACTTCTCAAATCCGGATTCCTTATCTTCATTTCTGGCTCGACCGAGATGAGCCCCAAACAACATTCTTCTGATTCGGAGATGGCCTCCCATGGAGATGACCGTGACGCCGCTATTGTGGACGTCATCACAGTCCCGTTTGCCGGTGGTTCTACTGAAACGGCGACGAATATCAGGGCTGAGGCGGAGGACCCTCCTAGCACTTCTTCTTCCTCCAGTGAAGATTCTGACGACACCAAATCCGAGGACGAAATAGCCTCCATGGCGGCCGGACGTCCCAACGATTTTCCTCGCCATACCCTTGACCTAAAATTGATTAGGGAGAGGCGGCAAAAACTGACCTCCCATAATAGGGCCGAAATTCCGGCCCTTATCCCTGACCCGATGGATTTCCGTTTGCAAGCTGGGCTTCACCCAATGCGTCATAGGCCCGGAATGACCATAGTTCATTTTGACTCAATTAGGGCCGGCCTTAGGTTTCCGCTACACCCCTTTTACATTTCATTCTTCAATTTCTACGAAGTTGTACCAGCCCAAATTATGCCGAACTCCTATCGGGCAATGGCGGGTTTTATTTGTCGTTGTAAAGATGCCGGCGCCCGACCAACCCTAGAACTCTTCCACCAATTTTTCAAGGTAGCCCCCCAACAAACCCACGGCTATCTGGCCACTAGTGCCCGAACGGGACACATCCTGTTCAAGGGAAACCCAACTTCAATCAAAGGGTGGAAAGACCGGTTTTTCTTCGTGTCTGTCCCGGACGGCCTAATTCCCCGCAAATGGAATGCCTTCCCCCGCAAGACTCCTGATCCTGTCCTTACTGAAGAAATTTACAAGGACGTGCTTGCTGTGGAGAAGGATAAATGCATGGACATCATGAGTTATCTGACTCCCGAACGACTTGTTACAGCCGGGATAGGTACTGCCCGTTCTCTTGGGTTTACTTGTTTTGAGAAACCAAGTGCCATGGTCCGGGCGGTCCTTCCCGTGCGAGAAACGTTCTTTTGTTCTTTTTTCTAGTTTCTCACACGCTAAGGCCGCTCGATACTAACATTGCCCTTTGTCTTTTTTTTCAGCACCAAACCCAGATCTACCTATGGATGATAGCAGAGTTATTGCAGCCGGTGGGGCCGGTAAACGGAAAAAATCCAGGAAGAACCCCCAACCTACTCCCTCCATTGTTCCTGCTCAGGATGCTGCCACTTTTCAACCGCTTCCAGAGCCACAACCAATACAGCAGGTCCATCAGGACCAATTCGATGCTATGCTGGTCGACGATCGGTTCGGCTCTGACCAACTGCATCAGTTTTCCCAGCACTTTGACTCCGTTCAGGGGGAACCCTCGAATGCAGGTGAGACCCACACCGACCATATTACTGGTCAGGTCGAGCGGATCTCCTTATCTGATCCTGTCCACGAGGTATTAGAATGGTTGGTTCTACCGCGAGCCAGATCTGGTCGACCTCCTCTTGGTTCAACAATTTTTCCCTTCTTCAGTTGCCGGTCGAGCAATCTGAAGAATGCCTGGCCTTGACTTCTCTGAAGGTACATTATTTTTTGCGCTCTGTTTTTATTTTATTCTCTGTAATCAGTACTAACTCTCGAACGGTGCTCTGTAGATGGGTTTGTACACCCTTCAAATGCGGGAAGCCCGTCTGGCCAGGGAACGGGAACTGATTGTTGCTCAATCTTCTGCTGAGCAAAATGCTGCTGCCGCCATCACCTCTCTGGAGGCCGAACGGAAGGCCTTTTCGGAGGAGAAGCAGAGGCTGGATGCTGAGCTAGGTACCCTTCGGGTCCAACTTGCAGCTTCCCAGGCAAAGGTCCTTGCTGCTGAGGCCGCACAGGTCAAGTTTGAGGAAATGCTCTCCAGCATCCCGGACGGTCCCTATGAAGTGAATGTGGATCTGTCCGCCGTCCGGGAAACATTTAAATCCTCTGATGAATTCTCCATCATCAAGGATGAACACGCAAGGACCCAAATCCTGTTCGCCTTTGGGCGTACTTGAAGGGTTTCCCCAAAGGTGCTGGTCGGCTATCGGCAGGGGTGGCCCTCTTGCACAAGGATCCCGAGGCCAAAAAATGGAACGACTCCATTGTTACAGATCTTTATGGCAAAATCGGTCAGGTCCTGCTGCGTCCCTTCATTGCTCAGCTTCAAAATAATCTGGGGAGGCCGGTTCAGGCTTCTGATCTTCCCAAGGATGACATTATACAGGCTCAATTCGAGAAATTTCTGCGAGCTCAGCAACGGGAAGCTGATCGGGCTGATGGGAGAGAGCCTGAACCCCCGTCTGATGACGATGAGGACGAGGACGAAGAGGGAGAGGAAATGGCCCCTGGCCAATAATCTATATGTACTTTATAATTATTCGTTGTAATTTTCTTTTCTTCAAGTAGCTTGTACTTCCCGGTCAGTAGAACCGATGAATACATATCCCTTTTTTGCATGAAGCTTTGTGTACTATTTTTTCCGCCTTTTTTGCATGATTTACTCGCCAATTTCCTGACTATATTTCTTGCTTAAATATTCCTAATGTCGTTGATCGCCGTTCGGGCATTGGAGAGTTCTGATAATTTGTTAAGGAAAAAACCCCCTCTCTGAAACTCAGCCGTTCGGGCTTCAGATAACTTTTTAGGACTTAGCACATTTTGGCTTCAGATAATCTTTTACAACGTTGATAGCTGGTCGAGCTTCAGATCAATTCTTAGGACAGCTGTTTTCTTGGTTTTCTTCGCACCTGGGCTTCTTCGTAAGTTGTTAGTCGTTCGGGCTTCAGAACAATTTTTAGGACTTAGCCGTTTGACTTCAGATAACCTTTTACGATGTTGATAGCCGGTCGGGCTTTAGGTCAATTGTTAGGACTTAGCCGTTTGATTTCAGATAACCTTTTACGACGTTGATAGCCGGTCGGGCTTCAGGTTAATTTTTAGGACTTAGCCATTTTCTTGGTTATTCTAAACATCAAGTCCCTATGATTTTTGCTAATCCTCTGCAAGCCCGTTCGTCATTCGGTAATCGATGATCTAAATAGATTTTAGCCATTTCCCCGTTATCTTTACTGTTCCCCTGTAAGCCCGTTCGGGGTACGTGCACAAAAATGAATCATAAATGCCCCAGATTAATCGTAACCACCCAATGCCACGTGTTGCTCATGGATTAGGGATTTGTGCGGCACTTTCCCTATTTATAGAGAGGTGCTTCCCCTAATTTCTCCTGCTGTTTCCTCACTTTTCTTTCGAGCTTTCTCTCTCTAGAATTCCCAGAATTCTCTTGCGTACTTTCAAGCCTTCTCTCTCTAGAATTCCCAGAGTTTTCTCCAGTGTTTTTATGTATTACCCCTCTAGCTCAGAATCTGAAGAGATGCCTTTGATTCGCACAAGCAAGACATCCGCTGGTAACAAGGCCGAAGGCTCTTCTTCCCAAACACCCAAACCCACCAATCCTCAGCCCGGCAAACACACCGAACAGTCACAAGATGATGGATGTCTGTCAGGTGATGATGTCCAGGTGTACAACAAGGGGATGCCCGAGCGGCCACCCCGCATTTCCCTACACTTCACTCGCATACGCAAACAAAGACAACGTCTTCCAGAAGATGTCGAACGGCAACTTAGCCAGTTATTGCCCCCACCAAGGGAATACTACGCTGGATTCATTCGGCATCCGATGAGGCACCGACCGGGGCACGTGCTAGTGCACCTCGATGCTCTGACTGCTGGGCTTCGGTTCCCTCTCCATTCATTCATTGTGGAGTTCTTACGCCGGGTTGCTGTACTGCCCGCTCAGTTCGTGCCTAGCACTTACCGCATTCTGACAGGCTTCATCATTCGATGCCATGAGTTGAGGATCACTCCAAGCGTCGACCTGTTCCTTCACCATTACTGCTATCAGCCTTACTGGACGACCGGGTACCTGAAGCTGGTAGCTCGTTCTAATCGTCAATTATTCACAGAGAATATCACTCCGTCGGCTGACTGGGAGGAGCGTTTCTTGTTTGTTCGGGTAGGCGATTCTCTGCCATTTCCGGATAGGTGGAACGCCTATCCCGTTCGGGATTCTCAGACCAGGGTGGACGCCGTTCTACGCTCCCAAGCGGAGTCCTTGCGGATGGGAGGAACCCGTAGTCTCAGGAGTTTTGTCACTACTTCAAGCATGTTATCTGCTGGAATTGGTAAGCGTAGTAGGATTTTAACCCGATCATCCTTCATTCTCATAATTCAGCTTCTTATTTTTTATTCCTCTTTCTTGCAGGTGTGATATCTCCCATACCCGTCCGGCGTTCTATCTCTTCCGCTACCTTGACGGCTTCTTCTGGTAAAGGAAAAGAGAAAATAATAGCCGATCGTGACTCGGCGGAGCAAACCCGGAAGAAGCGCAAAGGGAATGATGGTGATCAATTGATCCCGATCGACCATGTGGTTGATTTGACTGGGCCGGAGGTTGAGCCCAAAAGATCGGTGCCTGCCAACAAATCGACTCCGGCTCTTACTGACGCACCGATCGATGATCGGATGTTTGTCGAATTTTCAAACATGGGGCCCAGGTCAGAAGGGAGGTACCCGTTCGGGTTGATGCCATCTTCTATGTGGTGTCACACTGCAATCAAGGTTCCTCCGAGCTTCACGAACCTGACCCACTGGTCGGATCTTTTCGAAGCAGGTCACCAGAAAGCACTCAAGGTACACTTCATTCCGATCCATGCCTTTCCATTCTTCATGTTTTACTTTATCTGACTTTTATTGTAATCTTGTTTTCAGGCTGGTGTATACTATCACAAGGCCTTTCTTGCAGCTGAGAAGGAAATGAAAGCCCTGGCCAGCGATCGGGATGACGGCCAGGTCCTCCTTTCTGCCGCTCGGAAGTTAGCGGCCGATCTCCAAGAGCAGGCCAAGGAGGGTGAGAAGGCAAAAGCTGCTCTGGCTGAGATGCAGGAGAAGTCCCGTCGTCGCGACCGGGAGCTTAAAGAACTCCGGGCCAAGGTGCGGGCTGCTGAATCTGCTGGTATCAAATTTGATAAAGCTGTTGGCGACCATCTGCCCGAACCTTACACGGTCAATACTTCCCAGATTGCTCATCAATCGATAGTGGATTTTCAACGGGGCAAGGGGCTGAACGTCGCTCTGGAGAACACGGCCCGACAATTCCTAGGTCCTCACCTTGGCCAATTCTTGCGTGAGAGCTCAGATCCCATCAAGGCAGTGATTGACCTCCTGGACAGCACGCCGGAAGGGAAATCTTTCTTGGATGTCCTGACCGAGAAAACTGTGAAGCAAAGTCAGGACCTGCTTCTGGACAGGAACCTTGAACTGATCCTAGAGCATTTCCCCAAGCCGTTCGATCCTGATGAATTAGGCTTCGATGATCTGTTCGGGAATACATATGATCGCATCATGGAGAAAAGATCCAAAGCAGGGCCTGATGATGCAGTGCAGGCAGGGAGCTCCCAGCCTCCATCCTCCCCGAACGACAATCCTCCAGTAGCATAGCCTTACTGTAATTTTTGCTTCTTCATTCTTCTTGTATATTCCGGCTAGTAATGCCGAAGAATAAACTGGACTTCTTTCCTTATCTGTTATCTTTTTTCTATTCTTCCTTTTTTGTTCACCATCCTTTCTATGTCGCCGAACCTCACTCGGCTCATATATCTTAATGTCTGACACCTTTCCCGAGCCCTTTTTGATCCCTTTTCTGTTCGTGACGCACGGGTTCAAAACTCTTAGCTGAGGTGAATTCCTTCAAGCCGTTTTGATCGTGACCACAGGGTCAAACTCTCAGCTGGGACAGGGGCTCCCTCCAAACTATTAACGCGTTCGTCATTCGGTCATCCGGAATGATCCCATGTGTTAACAAGCTGAGGTGAGGCTATCTCTTCACAATTGTTCTGACACCTTTCCCGAACCCGTTTTGATCCCTTTTTCTGTTCGTGATGCACGGGTTCAAAACTCTTAGCTGAGGTGAATCCCTCCAAGCCGTTTTGATCGTGACCACAGGGTCAAACTCTCAGCTGGGACAGGGGCTCCCTCCAAACTGTTAACCCGTTCGACATTCGGTCATCCGGAATGATTCCACGCGTTAACAAGCTGAGGTGAGACTATCTCCCTTCCAAACCCATAATTCCAATGCATTCCGAACTGTTATCTCTGGCTCGTATCATCCATATTAAGGGTCTGAGGTAACCCTTTTCGAACTATAAGCAAGATCACCGAATTGGGTCATTCCTTACTTATAGCTAAAAGGGCGACTCGCCTCCGAATCAAGTTCATGACTGAGGCGAGCTTTTTCAAAACCATAGTTCCGATTCCCCAGGCGACAACCCGTACCTTATCCGAACGTCGCTCGGTTAATCCATATCTTACAGTCTTGACACCATCTCCAAGCCGTTTTGATCCCTTTGCCCATACGTAATTACAGGGTCGACTTTGGCCAAGTTGACGACTCAGCTCCCTCCAAACTGTTAACCCGTTCGTCATTCGGTCATCCGGAATGATTTTGCGTGTTAAAAAGCTGAGGTGAGAATCACTGCCCTCGAACTCCAGGCCATTTTGATCCCTTCATCAGTGCGTAATTACAGGGTCAAAACTCTTGCTGAAATAATGGCTCCCTCCAAACTGCTAATATGTTCGTCATTCGGTTTTCCAGAATCGATTCTCATATTAACCGCTGAGGTGAGACTATCTGAGCGTCAAACTCCAAGCCGTTGGCTGAGAATGACTTTCCTTCCATGTTGTTAACTCGTTCGTCATTCGGTCATCCGGAATGATTGAGTTAACCACGGGCACCGATTTTTTGAGCCTCAATTCTTCAAGCCGTTTTTGATCCCTTTATTCCTTCATAAGTCTAGGGTCAAAAACTCCCTAAGCTGAGAATTGATTTTCCTTCCATGTAGTTAACCCGTTCCTCATTCGGTCATCCAGAATGATCGTGTTAATCATGGACTGAGTTTATGTGGAAGTTATGTCTCCCTCTCTATACACATTTTTTTTGTAGAGGTGGCAACAGCCGTTTTTACTGATAAAATTTCCTTAGATGTTCCACATTCCAAGTTCCTGCCGGTCGGCCTTCGGTATTTTGTAGGCCAAACGTTCCTGAAGCATACTTCTTACATATTTGGTAGGGGGCCTTCCCAATTTTGTGCCATTTTTCCACCTTCGAGCGGTTTGCTTTTTTCTCGCTTTCTTAGCACCAGGTTCCCTACCTCGATTGAACGAACTTTAACTTGCTTATCAAAATATCTTCTTGTGGCTCTGTGATACTCTTCCATTCGTGCAGCTGCCAGATCCCTTCTTTCTTCTATGAAATGCAATTCGGCCCGTAAGTTGTCTTCATTTTGTTCTGGGCTGTAATGCACCGTTCGGTGTGTGGGAACTAGGATCTCCGTTGGTACTTTGGCCTGGAAACCATAGGCAAGGGCAAATGGAGTCTCTCCCGTGGCCGTTCGGGGTGTGGTCCTGTAAGTCCATAGGATATAATT